TTATCTATGAAGTTTTTTTAATTGCATTTGTAGGTAAGAGTATTCATCTGTTTGATATACTGGCATAATTTTAAATTTACCTTTGTTGCATTTGTGAATGTGTTGTGACACAAAGAGTGTTCTGTTGCCAGATAATTTAATTATGTTTTTGTGTAAGGAAACTTTGTTATTTAGTGCTTGAGTGATACCATATAAGATTTGTTGCATTTTGTGCAACAAATGTTGTGGTTATTCGTGGAGTTGGACAGTTTGTTAATTTGTTTATTATTTATTTACTTAATCTATTTATTTATTTTTAGAGAAGTGGTTATCGTATTTGTGTGTATAGCTTAAAGTGGATTATCAGGATTTTATATAGGACATAGATTTACATTTATCTTGGTGATGTTTTACAAGTTATTCATTTTAGATTTCGGTTTTTAAATAATTCAGTAAAATATGTTTTTCCGCGTTTTGAGATACGTTCTGATCGTTTATTTAGTAATTATTCTGTATTTATCTAGGAAGGTAATTATATCTATTTCTTCAGCCAAAGGAATTACATTTTGGGGTTTATAGTTATAGGTCGATGTTGTTTTCTTTATTTTCGCTGTTATATATATATATATATATATATATATATATATATATATATATATATATATATATATTCATTTTTGTGAAATTCCATATATGTTTGGAAAGGGGTGTGCTGTCCACGTATTTACTATTGGTAAAGGATATTTTGTCAGCTTAGTTTCTCAATTTTCCCGGTCTTTCAGTTACTCGTATCTATATTTTCTCCTTGGTTATATTTTTTTTTTATAATGACATGTTACATTATATTGCTTTTCAGGTAGGTATCGTTTAAGAGACATTAATTCTTTCCTCTGGAGTTAAAGGTGAGATTTTTTTGTGTGGCAGATTTGTTGGTTATTTTTCGGTTGTGATTTTTATTATTTGTGTCATGGTCTCAATGCAACTGCAGCTGATTTTTACTGCGTCTCTGTTGAATATCGTTTGGACTTTTTTAAATCGAGTTCACCCCAAGAAAGGCACTAAAGCGAATGAGACGCAAAAGGGTTACCGGGTGTGGGAGAGTTAGAATCAAGAACATTATTCAAGAGCGAGAACAGAGGAAGAGTAATCAGCAAACCAGTACATAGCGATTGACATTGCATTTAATTTTTTGCTGATTAAAGTTGGCTGGAAAACATAGAGCTGGAAGGGAGTTCCACAAGCAAGAAGCGCTAGAAAAACTGTTAGAAGAGAATTTACGGTTACGTCTCGCCAGCTCAACTGTAAATTGGTGAGACCTTGTCGCCATTCTAGAGTTTAGACACCATAGCGAAAGCTCACCCGAACAATTACCATGGGACAAGGCAAAGGGAGACAACCTTACGGCGGTGGGAAAGTAACTGAAGCCAAACCACCAGATCAGGACCAATAATATTGCTGATTCCTCTTTGGATCTTATCAAGGAGCTCAAGGTAAATAGCAGGGGCACTGGATCATATGTGGCAGTAATATTCTAAGCATGGACGAATGGTAAACAGATATGAAAGATAAACTGTAGAAAATATCGTCTCGCACGACACAGTGAACCACTCTTCCTCTCAACTGACCTAGCAATGGATTCAATATAGTCTTTCCACTTCATATCAACCGGGAATGTTAGCCCAAGAAGACGCAGTGAGTCACCCACCTGAAAGCCAGTATCAGCCATGCTGATTGAATCTATAATGGAAATGGTTTTTGGGTGAGTTTAATGAATATTTTTCTACGTTTTTAAGTTTTTGTGGTCCGGTGGGTTGAACAATATGATTTTTTTTGTTTTTTACAGTGTGGTGCGTATATGCGTGTCATTTTGTGGTTTGTTGAAGCGAATTACATTGTAAAAATTGTCAGATAACATACGGTTAATTGTGGGATCTAGTTGATTATTGTTGGCTGGTGGTTGGAAAATGTGTATATATAAAGATGTTTCTCGTTCATTATTTACATTATTCGGACTATTGTCCTCATCTTTGTCGCCATGTTTATCACAACATATCGGCCGTTGTACGCTCCGGCCTTCTTCATCTCAGAAATATAGACAGATGTTTCTCGTTGGATTTTCTCTATGGCTGGTGTGTACTTTTTGGAGATGAGAACCTTGAAAGTGATGAATGTCCCAAATGTCAATCTGCAATTGCTGACAACTACTTGAGGACCATCACTGAAGTGGACCCACGCAAAACAATTTGAAAATTTGCATAAAAACAATACATTGACTAAATTTTTCAACATTTGTATCAAATTCTTTTAATTATTCTCTTATATTGCATGTTCTTTCGGGCCGTGGATGGTGATGGCTCTCGAAAACCTATAATTTTTGTTGCTCTAAATAAGTCTAAGTACTACAATATGTCCAATGAGTTTTAAATTATCCACCTTATTATTGGCTCCAGAAATTTCAATTGTTTTTGTTTTATTTTCCTTAAAGCATCATATGCATTTTCTTCATCTGTTCGGATATTGTCTAACATTCACTGCCATATAGAAAGGCCGCTAATTACATAGCAGTTCATCACTCGTTTCTTTATTTCTAACAATATTTTCCTCTCTTTTAATACTTTGTTTTGTATCTGGTAGACCTATTTCTCTATTTCTACGCGCCTTCGGATATCTGTTGCTACACTACCCAGACAGTTAAATCCCTGTACCTGCTTGATCCTGACATCTCCAGTACATAGTTCACACTTTGAGTTTTCTCTTTTCTTTTAGCTTACACTTCATCTTTTCTTCTCGCACTCATTTATTGTATTGTCAACTAATCTTTCACTTTTCTTTCCGTGTTTTGTTAATAACACCGTTGCGTCAAACCAGAAAGTCATAAAAGCTGGACAAATGTTTGCTGAACGAACTAAATATTTCTGTTACAAAGCAGATCTGTTCTTCATTTGCGTAAGAAAAACCATTCATTCCTTGATCGTATTTTGATAGGTGACAAGATTCTGATGACGTTTCAGACCATGACTGGCAAATAATGACAGAGTGAAATACCAAAACACAAAAACCAAAACTGTCCCAAATGAAGGTTATGACTGCTGTTTGTTGGTTAGTACGTGGAATCATTCACTAAGACTTGAATCCAGGCGAAACTGTCACATTATAGCTCTATTGTCAGACAATGACAGAAGAACTGTAATATTTACGTCTAACCTTGGTCAAATGAAAAACCAGTTCTTCTCTATTATAACCTTTGATCGCATTTCTTCTCAAATTATGCTAAACTGGTGAAGAAACTGACCAAAACTCTCTCCCAACGCTTATCGCTTTTTCAAGCATTTCGGAAATTCCAATGAAAGATGTTGTCTTCAACAAAGAAGCAGCAACTAAAAAAAGCTTCGAAGAAGTCATCGGTTACAATATTCCAGAATTATACGCTACCAAACTGACCGGATTTGTTTATTGTTGGTACCACTGTGTACATTCTAGTGCTTCTTATTTATATTACTAAATTTTATACGTAGCTGGGATCAACAGCTTTAAATTTGACGCTTACAAATCATAATTATTCTTACACCAAGCAAATACATTCTAAATACAGCAGCATCCAGTTTTATTTCATTCTCGCATAAATCTAATAATATGAACTTCTTGATCCACCGTCGTATATATAATAAAAGGCAGTAGCATTGCAGTATCGCCTTTCATGTATCGTTTTTATTCGGATTTCATTTGTTATCATTACATTTGAAATCCAACAACGTATTATTTTGCATTTTCGCATAAACTTAGAATAATAGAAAGAAAAGAAAATCCAATAATAAATTCTAAATCCGTTGCAATTAAGCCGTAAAATTCATCTTTTTGTGAGATTAGAACGGATACTTTTTGTGGAAATATTTTCCAAAAATATCGCTTCCAATCACCGAGCTTTAAGAACAAATATGTCTGCTTGGATTTTGTAATTCTTTAATACTCACTGCTGGCTGCTTTTGTATCAATCTGTTCAGATGAATATATATTATCTGTTCACATTTTTTGTGTTGTGTCTCTTCAGGAGGTAGGTGATCATGACTCTCCACAGCTGTCTTTCTGTTGTTGCTTTCAAGAATACTTGCTCATTTACATCTCTTTGTAGGAAACGTTTTTATATCTCAAGTTGTTCAAACTTATCGACTAAGTTACATTCTGTAAGCTTTTTCTTCCTTATGTGTTCCAAACTATTTCAAATGCTTTGATTGTTTGCAACTGTTTCTTTATAGTTCTTGCCTTAGTGAGATGGTTATTAAATTACCTTAGCATATTTTTCAGTTCGATTCTTACTATGAAGTTATACTGTATCTCTCTCTCTCTCTCTCTCTATATATATATATATATATATATATATATATATATATATATATCCAAGTATATAATTGGTGTATACGGAATGAATTCCAATAACCAACAATTACTATTCTTAAAAGAGTGTTCAATACAAAGTAGAGCAGATAGTGATTTTATAACATATTTATGTTATAAATTTTTTTTTATAAATAATAATTATAATTATATATATATATATTTACCAATTTTACCAGGGTAAGAGGCAGACTTAGTTTAAAACTAGCTTCCCTGATTGAAAAAGAAAATACAGATCTGATATCCCTTTGTAGGACGCCTCGCTCTTTCTGTCGGTAAACATGAATTTCATTGTTTAAAAGAAGAAAAAACAGGTATGACTATTCAAATTCGTGTACACTCTAAATATAACATTTATTGTAAGAAGAAATAATGCTTGTTAAAAAAGTAATTATATATATATATATATATATATATATATCATGGATTCACGCGTGGTGAGCCAACGCATTATTATTCTATCGATACTTTACCGATGAGTCCTTTCGTAAGAGTAGAGTCCAATTCCAGAGCCGCAGGCCCTACTGCAGATGCTGCATTTATAAAGTAGATTCTGAGTTCTACAGTTGGTTTTCCTCATGGCACGTTTCTCAGTGAGGAGACTGGTACGCCTGTTCTCAAAGTCATCGATGCCTTTTTCTGGTTTTCCTCCAGGTTGCATGGGCTTGGGTATTACTTTCCCACCTATCAAGGCCGATGCTACATGTCTTGAGATTGTATTTAGCATGTCCTTGTACTTCAATTTCGGTCTACCTAGTGGCCTGTTAACATGTCTAATTCACTGAAAAAGATTGCTTTCGGAATTCTTGAGCCTTCCTTCGGATACACGTGCCTCACCCAACGAAGCTGTGCCTTGATTATCTGGCTTTCTATGCTGGGTACAACACATCGTTCTACGACCTCGATATTGAAGACTTTATCCTGCTATTTAATTCTGCATTTAGAAGCTTAATAAGGCGACGATAGACTGTCGCAACGATACAAAAGAGTGTTGAGAATCACAGACTTGTATACATTGATTTTGTTTCTCAGTCTCACACTATGTTTATCCCATAGCCTACCTCTAAGCATTCCAAAGGAACTGTCTTCTCTCGCAGTCCATTGTGTGAACTCATCATCTATAATCAATGAGTTTAACAAAATACTTCCCAGATAACAGAAATCCTTTACTGACTTTATGGGAATGGTGTTGATATAAACAAGGAGATTGATGTAGCTCTTGTCAGGAGCTCATAGGTCGTGGAATGCTTCAAGCAAATGATTCCCTGCAGGCCTGTAGCCAGCATCCCCTCGTGAAAGAACCGGACTACTGAGATGAACCTTTCGAGGTAACCGAGTTTCTGTAGAATCATCCAAACGCCACTGCGGTTGATTGTGTTGAAAGCCTTGGTCAGCTTGATAAAGACCATGTAGAGGTCCATGTTCTCTGTACATCTCTTGAACCTGCCTCATAGAGAATATTATGTCTGCAGTTTCTCTTCCAGGCCTGAAGCCACACTGCAATTCTGGGTATACGGACTTCTCGAATTTCTCCAAGATCCTGTTCAGAAGAACACGTGCAAGTATCTTCTCAGCGACTGATAGAAGAGATATACCTCTGCGGTTGTCACATATGGTCTGGTTACCTTTGCGCTTGTATAGATGGACAATGGAGACATCATTAAAGTCTTGTGAAACGACACCCTTGTTCCAAGTCAAAAAGACGAGCTGCCTGAATTTCTTTGTCGGGTGAATACCCCCGTGCATGAATATCTCAACAGGGATAACGTCTACGCCAGGAGACTTTCCAGAGGTCTATTTGATGGCTTTTACAACCTTGTCTAAAGAAGGCGGATAGTCTATTTCTTCAAGGAATTGCCTTTGGGAAATAGACTCTAGGCCTTCATCTGGCATAGATGAAAGAGGATTCAAAAGAGTGTTGAAGTACTCAGCCCATCAGTTGAGATCCGTAGTCTTATCTGTGAGAAGTGTCTCGCAATTGGATGAATAAACTGGTGCACTGCCACTGGTCCTGGGGCCATAAAGAGCCCTGAGACTTTCATAGAAAAGCTTGGTGTTGTTCTTGTCAGCAGCTTCCTGGAGCTTCTTGGCCTTCCTATCCCACCACGAGTCCTTCATCTGGATAGAAGACTCCGCATTGAACTACGATCACTTTTTAGCAGTAGACCTTTTATCGTCGATGTAGAATTTGTTGGCGCTATGCATCTTTTGTAGAATCTCAGAGCTCTTACTATCGTTTTCATCAAACCAATCTTGGTGCTTGCATTTGAGAAAGTCCAATGCATTTGCACTGGCAGAATAAATAGCTGTTTCCATGCCGTTTCCACATCAAATGTCAGCTATCTCATCTGGGAGATCTGCACCCTAAATATTTTCCTGTGGTTTCTCCTGTTTTGACCTTTCCCTGATCCTGCAATTTTGAGCTTACAAGGTGGTTTCAGTCTAGAGTATGGTATCTTTAGGGGTACAGTGAGAGATACTTTGCTGCTGAAAAGCCTGTGATCAATCCAGCACTCAGCACCAGGCATTGATCTTGTTAGTCGAATATCATGGACATCCCTTTGTCGTACAATAATGTAGTCGAGAATATGCCATTGTTTGGATCGTGGATGAATTCAGGTGGTCTTCTTGTTGGCCTATTGAAATATGGTATTTGTAATAAACCAGATTATGCGCGCTGCATAGCACAAGAAGAAACCCATTAGCATTCGCCTTCCCTATGCTACATTTACCGATAACATTTATCCAGACATTGGAGTCGCGTCCGACCTGCGCATTAAAATCTCCAAGTATGATAATTTTGTCCTTCCAAGGTGTTTCTCTGATCACTCTATCCAGATCCTCATAAAAAGCTTCTTTCACCTCATCAATATGAGTCATGGTAGATGTGTAGACGCTAGGTATGGTTGCATTATGCTCTTTTGACAGTCTTAGGCAGATACACATTATCATTTCGCTGACGACTTTGGGAAGTGTGTCTAAGGTCTTGACGATTGATGCGCAGGTATCAAATCCAACACCTCGAGGCTCCTCCACAGGCTTAACTATCCAAAAGAATGTGTATCCTGTACTAACTTCTTGTAAGTCAGATTTTCCAGAGATTCTTGTTTCACTTAGATCTGCTATGTCAATTTTTTTAAATTTTTACTCCTTTCTAACATGTTCGAAATTTGTGTAAAAAAATTTTGTGTGTATGTGTGTTGACAGTGTAACAGAGCTGATAATAGACATTTTCGCTCTGCCGTTTCCGGTGAAAAACATTAATTTGGAAATTCTTGCAAAAATCAAATAATTGTCGGATTTTAATGAAATTTTAATGACTTATTCACAAATGGATGAATTTATTTTTGAAATTATTACTCTTAGAAAATCTTGTTAAATTATTTTTTTTACATCTGTTACACGCTTATTTATTTTTTGAATTTTCTAGAATTTAAAATTACCAAGGAAGTGTTAAAAGCAGGACATCTTGCAGAATGTAATTATTTTCCCCAAACTATTACCAAGTTTCCTAAAATCTGCTCCAAATCATAACATAAAAACAGTGATAAAACTATATAATTAGATAAGCTTTTAATTGCTTCTATATACAATATATATTAAAGACACTATACTCTGAAGAAAAAAATTTTGGTGAATAATGAATTTTTACAAGAATTTTTCTTATTTTAATAATGTTTTAAAATTCTTCCAAATATCGCCAAAGTTAGGTTATTATATTATCAAGTTAAGACCATATTTACTAAACGAAAATTGAATAGCTTAATACAAATCAACCACCAAAAATTTTTTACAATAATTAAAAATGATTTTTTCTGCGCCTAAGTATCCTTTTTTAAGTATAATGTTTCATATGCAACATCATTGTTAGAAGGTCTCGGTTTTAAAGTGTTATCCATCTAACGCATATAAACCTTTTACTTTTACTTAGTTAAGAAAAATAATTTGTTTTTAGTTAGTTTTTTTTTAATTTTTTAAAGTTTCTTTATTCTTTTTTGTGAGTTATGTTTTAATTTAAAATCGTTTAAAAGGTAACATTTTTTTTCATTTTAAACCTAATGTTTAGTTTATTTATTTTTATACTTTATTTCATTTACGTTTGAAATTGGTTTTCTTTTCTCAATTTATTTTTAATTGTGGTAGGTACTCCACTAATTCTTGATAACCAAGTTTGTTTTTTTTTAAATGAATTTAAAAAACAAAAATGAAAAAGCTTTCTTGAAGCTTTCATTTTAGATTTAAATATCAACACCTGAAAAACTAATAATGTCAGCATGGGAAACTCTTTAGGTCCTGCTTTCTCTTTTAGCTGTCTTATATTGAAAACAAAGTGTTTAAAACAACTGATAAACTAGAAATCAACACAAGGTACGTTGATGACATTTTTCTTTTGATAAAAAATAAGGTCTAAATTATAAATCTAAAACCAAATTTTGAAAAACTCAACTCTAAAATTTACATATGAACTCATGTTTAATAACAAAATACCATTCATTGATGTTTGTATAGAACTAACATCCAAAGAATTTACCACTTACCCATATAAATATCCCAGGAGCACGAACTCTTGTCTTCTAAACTATGATAGCCAATGCCCAGAAAGATATAAAATAGCAGTGATAACAAACTTCTTAAATAAAGCACGCCAAAATTCCTCTTCACAAAGAATATTTCTGAACGAACTAAAACACATAAAACAAAAATTAGTCAACAATAATTTCCCCAACTACATCATTGATAAACAAATAAAATTATACTTACAAAAATACACGACACCAGTAATAAAAAATATCACACAAAAATCATTCACATATTTTTACTGCAACCAGATGCACTGATAATAATAAACAGGACGCATTCGCTATATGAAGAATCATATTTCTGCCGTAATTCCCGAAAAACATGTAAACCGTATAAAATATTACAGGAAATCGAAGACTGTAAACCTTGTGGTCACTAATCAAAATAACCCCATTAAACCTGAACTAGCGATGACCAATGTATTATATCAATTTCAATGCCTAGTGCTAGACTGTTTCTTGTCACAAATCAAATACCTATACCAGACACACTATCACCGCTTTGAATAGACGCCTTACGTGCCACTTACCTGACCATTCTGCCATTAAAAAAAGCATTTATTAATCCATAATTTACAAGAACGCTTAAGGAAAATTCGTGTCAAAAATACTAGAATTCTATATAAATCACATCATCAGAATCATCTTGCTATTCGAGAAGCCCTATATATCAAAAACTTCTCTCCTACCATCAACCTTACATTATTTAATAGTGGAAATGGAGTATTGAAGGTTTTTTTTTTAATAAAAAGCAAATGGAAAATGCCCACGTGCATTCCAGTCGTGCGTAGCAAGTGAGAGCTTGGAATGACGCTTCTTTTTCAAAAAACAACACAAACATATTTTACAACGTAACAGTCAAAACATGAGGAAAAAATAACAACACCAGAGACAAAACACCCTTGAAAGCAGCTATAGAAGTGGCCGAAAGCGCTTGGAACAATAAAAATTATGGACAATTTTATATATTCCTTACCTCCTATAAAACGGAAAAATGTTAGGAAGCTGTAAAAACTTTCAAAAATAATTTAATCTTCCTTGTCGGCCGCATTCAATAAAAGATGTCTGAAAGAAAGGTTGCTGTCAATATATATATATATATATATATATATATATATATATATATATATAGTTACAGAGAGTTATATTGATTCGTTCTTTTTTGTCTATTTTATTTTTTTATTTTTCTTTCTTTCCTTTCGCCTAATCTTCCATATTGTCATTTTTCTTTCTTTTCATTATTCTTTCTTTTTTCGACTGTTCACATAAACACCAAACAATTGTTATTGAACTTCATCTTTATACACGCAACTCACGTCCGCTTGCTGTTCCATTTCACAAGACACATTTGCCATTTGTCAATACTACGGCGCTAATCAGCATTTCAAATAACAGAACAATTCTTACGGTCACTCTCTCAATATTAGTCTGTCTCTTTTTTTTATTTTATCTATCTCCCTCTTCTTGCTCTCTCACTTATTTTCCTACTTTTATTTCTACCTCTTTTCTCCTGTCTTTATTTATTCTATCTTCATCTATCTTTCCTTTCTCTCTTATGTATCCATCTATCTTTCTTTTATCTTTCCTCTTCTCTCTACATTCTATTACTTCCTTTTTGATTTCTCATGGGACAATTTCTCTCCCTCACATTCATTGCCCTTTCTTTTCTTTTCCCGTTTCTCTCACCTATTATTCCTTCTCTGTCGTCTACTTTTTTCTTTTATATAAAATTTTTCTTTCTTTCTTTCAAGCAATTTATTCCTCTCTTTAATTGAGCGCTCTTATCTCAATAACTTTTCTTTCTCTTTCCCTCTCTCTCCTTTTCCTGCTCTCTATACGTTTTCTCTCTTCTTCTTACGCTTGAGTTGATTCTGTCTACTATTTCACTTTTCTTTCGTTGTTTCCTTATTTTCTTCTATTTTTTCTTCCTCTTTCTATTCTCCTTTTTTCTCCGCTTCACTTTATTTCATTTTCTTTTATTCACTTTACATCTCTTTTGACATTTCTCTTTTTCTTTTTTCTTCGTTATTTTTCTTTCTTTTTTCTTCGTTATTCTTTATATTTTTTCTTTCTCCCTTTTATTTACTTTTTATTATCGTTTTAATTTAGCTTTTCCGTGCCGTTTCCTGATTTTCTTTCTTTTTCGAAGACTTTGCTATCTTTTTCTATTTTGTTCTTGATTTCCTTTCTTGTTTTTCTAATAATTTTCTTTTTGTCACGCATTTCCATGTCATCTCACCCCTTTTGTTCTTAATCTCTATTTATCTTGACATTATTGAATCATCTTCTTTTCTCGTCATCACTTTGATAATTGGTCCAAATTTTCTCCGGTGCCAATCTCTTCAAATGCAAAAGTCTCAGTAAATCTTGGTGAACATATATGTTGAAGAAAAACAAGAAATTAATCCGACCTTTAAACTCTTCTCATTCTTCTGACTTAAACTTCATCTTCTCTGGCGATAAAATCTATTATTATTTTTCCTCGTGACTTTAACATTCATCTACTTATTAATCAAAGGGTGATTAATGTTACGTGTGTTTCTTTTTACTTTTCGCCTGTTGTTTATTCTTTACATGCACAAAATGTTGTACTGGGTGAAGGTTTCACACCAGTAGAATTTAGAACTTTCCAACATCTCTCTTTTTCTTAGATTTAAATGTGACACTATGTGACATTGGTGGAATTAAAAGGGTTAAGATAAAAGTGTGAGCTGAAATCGCTACGGTATATTCCGGGTTAGTCGCTAACCGTGGAAATGAAAAAACAGAATTGGGAAATAATATTTGTTTTATGGCCGTCAACAAAAATGGAAATTATTATTGGTATGCCTGGCCAAATGGCCATTTGAAATATAATTGGGGAAATATAAACAACTCGAAACACCAGACTCAATTTGTCACCCGAAAAGAAAATTGAAATGAGAAAAAACCTGTAAGGGTTGTCTGCATTATAACCCGAGGGCTGTGGAAGTGGGATGACTGGTTGGGATTGCGCTATAACAAAACAGATCAAAGGTCAAAATAACCAAAATAATATGTGTTATGGAAAATCAATGATTAAAATAAGACAACACCTTCTCTCAATGGGTTTAAAATTAGAATTTTCAAAAAGACAATCAAAAACTTCCCGTTAGGATGGCCTCAGATGGAATAGCAAAAGAGGAGGAGAAAAGGAGAAAATTTATTTCTCCCATTTCGAAGTAATGGTGCGAGGCATCAATAAGAAAAGGTATGAGTTATAAAGGATACATGCAACTAAATCTGAAAATTAGGAAAGTAACGAAACCCCCAGACATGTCGAACTCACGCCAGTCTTTGGACCGGACCTTTGTACCAAGAATTATATAAACCAATTTAAAACTAACCTGACGAATCAGCGCTCCGAATTACCGACGAAATTCGATCTTCACTGTTCTGAGATGAAATAACACAAAATGGTCAGGGACGGTGTAGATTGAAACGGCCAGCAAACATCAACCAGTTGACAGACGACGGTACTGACTAGCGTAGGGTTAACCCAGGATCGACCGAGGCGTGCGGGTTATATAAAATCTATCTATCTATCTATCTATCTATCTATGTCAACCTATTTGTATCAGTTGAATTTAGTTTGGAAAATGTCATTATTTTTGAGTTTTCCTTAAATCGAGAATTATAAAAACAAACAGGTTTTCTCTAAGTGATATACTGACGCAAAACAAGCAAAAATGAAGATCATAAGACGGAGTGTAAATATATGCTCAATAGTTTTACACTTTCTCTATAAGAAAATAAGTTCCTACTTCAAAAACTACGAAATTATATCTATAAATGAGATATGTTAACAAGATTAACAGTCAATCATATTTAGATAAATTATATTAAGTAAGAATATATCTTAAAAAAATTAATATTAAAGAATAAAAATATTAAAGATAAAATAAACTATCCATTTGTAACTTTAAAGATAAGTTAAAATATTAAGAGAACTAAACCATACCAAGTTATATTAAAAAGTAAAAGGATAAAGAGGTGATACTGAAAAATGAAAGAGAGTTCCTAGAACAGGGGACAGTTATAAGATATGATTAATATGGAGAAGAAATAGAAATAGAGAGAAATTAAATATAGTTATATATTCAACATAAGAATTTTCCAGTCTATCTATATAAATAATATCAGAAACACTGACTTTCTTGCAACCACGGTTTCTGCCGAAAAGGCTTTTCAGGCAACACACACAGACACACACACACACACACACACACACACACACACACATATATATATATATATATATATATATATATATATAGATAGATAGATAGATAGATAGATAGATAGATAATATCATACATTGAGAGCTGGTGTTTATTTTTTCTTATATTAGAATAATATATTTAAATTATGTAACGGTCAGATTACGAAGATTGCGTTGTGCATGAAACTCAGAGTCGTGCTACTGGTGAGGAAAATTTATATATATATATATATATATATATATATATATATATATATACCTGCGTTTATATTTATCTCTCTGTATACATATACGCATCTCAAAAAAATACACACACCATGTTTAGGGATGGGAGGTAGAGAAAACTCGACAGAAGAAAAAATAAGAAAATGGAAAGGAGAATGAAAAGTTACGGGAAAAAGAAAGAACTAGAACAAGCAAATTAGGGAAGCAGGAAGAGAAGAAAATGAAATGAAACTGAAATGATGCGAGCCACAAAGAAGAAATGAAACAAAATATAAAGGAAAGAAGAATAAAAAAGAAAGAAATGAAGGAAAAGCAAAAGATAAAGGAACAAAATAGAAGAAATGAAGGAAGAAACAACAACGAATGCAAAAAAACGAAAATTCACAAATAATGTACAGATGAGACATAAATTGATTGAAATACGCAAAAGAAAAAGGATAAGTGAGCGAAAAAGAATAAAGGAAAGAAACAAATATGAAGGAACGGACAAAAATAAAACAATGAGGAATCAAACAAAAACTGAAAGAAGAAAAATAAAAAGAGTGAAGTAAAAAAATATATAAAATTAAGGAAGAAAATATGAAAAAGAAGGAATATGAAATAAAAAAAATGACATAAATCAAACCTAAAAGGAAAACGGAACGAAAGAAAAAAAAACAATGACGGGCGAAAAATAAAAATAAAATGAAGGCAAAAAATATGAATAATAATTAAGGAAAGAAACAGATAAGAATGAAGAAATGAAAAATAATTATGAATGAATGACATGTAAAGAAATAAAGAAATGAAACAAAAAGGCATGAACCAAAAATAAAATGTAATGAAAGAGTGAAACACAAAAACAATGAAATAACAATTTTTTTAGGATTAACTAACGAAACAAAACATAAATAAAGGAATTAAATAAAAAAGAAGCAAAATAAAAATAAAGGAATTAAATAAAAAGAATCAAAGTGAATAAAAGAATGAAATAAAAAATGACCAAAGAAATAAACTTTTAAAAAATATAGGAATGAAACATAATTAGCTTATAAGAAAAAAGAAAGATTGTATGAAAGTTAAACACTATCAAAGAAGTAAAAATTAGAGAATGAGTAAGCAAAAACAAAATTGAAGAAATTAAAGAAAATAAAATGAATTTACGAAACAAAAACAAAATAGAAAGCTAAATAAGGATGAATGAAACATAAAGTAAAAGAACAAAAAACATAAAAATAATGAAAAAAAACAAAAGACAATAAAGAATTTAGGAAAGAAACATAAAAAATGTTGAAACGAAACTAAAAGAATGAACGTACAGCGAATCATAAAACGAATGAACGAGTGAAACATAAATGTAGAATGACCGAAAAGAACGAATTATAGGAAAATGAAAGAATTAAACGAAATGTATGAATGAAACAAAAACTATTAATGAAAGAAACATAAAAAGAATGAAGTAATGATAAATTTAAAAAAAAAATAACGGAAAGAAACAATAGACAGAAAGCAATGCAAAGAACCGACATTTTCTTTTGTTTTGTCCATTTCGATGTGCATTTCTCTTCCTCTACTTGTCCTTACGTGATACGCAAATCTACAATTGAATTCGCAAGGATGGACCGATTAATGTATAAATGCATTCTTCCACATGGACTTATCATTATTTCTAATGTAACCTTCATTTGCCACAAGGCTATAAATATAGGAGACTTTAGTGGTGACTGAACTCACTATTCTTGCCAACCACCTTCTACGTTAACGTCAACACCGCCCCACTTATTCAAGGTTGTTAGCCAAATTGCAATGAACACATGGTGATTCTCTAAGCGTAGCTTATATGCGGCACAAGGCCGAAAGTGAGGATTGAACTCGCTACTTACTCGTAACCATTCAAGTGAGACAAGCTTACTAATCATTACACCACATCGCGGTGAGCAATTGCACTGAACTTATGGTCTGAAATTGTTTCGTCAAAGAAATAAAAGTAATAAAAAAAGTCGAGTTCTATATTTTCATATGTAGTGATTTCGAGAGATTTTTTAAATGCCCCGAGAGACATGGGAAACAATTTAATAACCTGACAGGTAAACAAAGTGGTGTCCTTAACATTTGTGCAATTTGTATTTAAAAAGCTACAGTTCTTTTCCCATCGAACTGACGCATATACGTACGGCTCTACAAGTGACCGTTTTTTAATACACTCTCATCTTCTTCATGTTCGCAGCGAAACGAAAAATAAATAACAAAAAATATAAATTAAAAAAGGGGGAAAAGAAAGTTTTCTTTTTCAAATCAATATTACTCATTACGAGCAAAGGAAAATATTTAGAGAATAGCTGAACGAGATTGAATTCTTAATGAAAAGTTTTAGCAAGTGAAAAAAATTAATACATAATAAACCCGATTCTTAATTCCACGAAATGTGTTAAATTTGGTTTTCTAATTTTTTTCTTCCTCTTTCGTTTTGTCAACTTTTGAAAGTGACAACGTGTTTAACAAATCAAATTAAACTTTTCTTTTTTAAACGATTGTCGACATCAGAATATTTTTTCTAGCCAATTATTCTCCTCTTCCTTACTTGTGATTGTAACCATTTCCTTTTCTACTATATTCTCTCTCTCTCTCTCTCTCTCTCTCTCTCTCTCTCTCTCTCTCTCTCCTCGCTTTTCCGTGATTGGCTTTTATTTTCTTCAGAATTATGAACGACATACTTTTTATTTTACCTCACTTCCTTCATCTTATCTCATTAAGATGATAATGTGCTATTCGTTTATTTATTCACTTATTATTATTGTTGTTGTTGTTGTTGTTGTTATTGTTGTTATTTATCGATGTACAAACAGGAAGAGGAAGGGTAAGGATGAGTTACGAGTGCTCTTCGCTTATTTTTTATGGGTCCTTGGTTAATTATTGACTCTCAACTTATTCACAAATATTTCTTTCTAAAAACCACCAATACAATCACCATCATCAGGACCAAAACATTCTTCTTCTTCTTCTTTTTCTTCTTCTTTTTCTTCTTCTTCTTCTTCTTGCCATCCGTTTTTTCGTCGTCTTCTTTCTGTTTTTCTTCTCTATTCAAATATAAAATATATTTAATTTCTTAATCCGTTTTTAATTATTTTCACCTCAACAGTTATTTGTATCTCTGCCATTCTCATTTATATTAACGTTGTATTATTTCTATAGTTATCTTCAGGTTTCTTTTTCATTTTTCTTTTTAATCTCTCTTTACCTTCTTTTCTTATTCTTCCTCTTCTTTCTTTCTCCTCGCTGTCTTCTTTTTCTCTTTCGCTTCTTTCAATCTTCTCATAATCATATTCTCTTAGTTATTCACTTTCTTGAAATTTGTTTCTTTATTTCACCATTAATATTTCTCTTTACAAGTCTTGGTTCATGTTATTTTTCTTTATTCTCTTTTCTTTTCATTCTACTACTACTAATATTACTACTACTATTCCGTTAATGACAACAGCTCAAAAAATAAAACTACAAAGTATGTCAAATGTAAAGACCATTGCTAATATCCCCATTTTTCGTTGTTAATACTCTTCACTTTGCTATTTCAGTTTTTATTTTAATTATTTGATATTTACAGTGATTTGATTTGTTTTCGTTTGCTTTCCGCTTCCATTTTTCTGTTTCCTCTCTTCCTGTTCAATTAATGATTCAACGCCAATGAAACGTTCAAAAAGGAGATGCCATCATCTTAAAGAATGAAAAAGAAAATATTACAATTACAAATATCGTCTGCTTTTATTCAAATTACGAAGAAAATGGATGATGAAGGTGAAAGACGACGCCTGACTGCTGATTGCTTCATTTTGCATCGTTTATTTTGTGACGAATGTCAAAGAGATTGTGTTTATTTTTTGTTTTATTATTTTATAGGGCTTTTTTTCTTCTTTATTATTAGTTCCAAATGAAAATTACCATACAGTTAAGGAAGGCTGAAGAATGAACCGGTCAAATTAAGGGATCGGAAATACTTGCTTGAATAATTCCTGACAAAAGGAAAACTCTTTATCTCAAGAATAAAGATTATATTGAGCTATAGTGATCAAAACAATAAGGATTAAGATAACAGTCGGTATAATGAATCGAATAATAATGGCACTTCAGAACCCAAGAAAATGCTTAGAACAAAATGACCTAAAAGTAATAAGCAAAACAAACGAATGATCATCATAGCTTGAATTATTTTTTTAATAATAACAACATTACATTTCCGAACTTTAGATAACATTTGCTTAAGTTTGGTTTACTTCTTTGGAGTTTATGAAGACTTTTTTCTTGGGATTTTTCTTTATTTTTTCTTTATTTTTTTGGTTTTGTGTTCATTAATTGCTATCTTTTTACGTCACTTTTTTCAATTTGTCCTCGAATTTTTATATACCTTATTTGATACATGTTGTATACAGGTGTTTTGGAAAGCACGGCACTCAAGCCAAGAAGGAAAAATCATACGGAAATAAAAAGTAGGTTAATCCCCAACATTTCCAGGATTTTAATCGGTTTTAACCGCCATGTTCGACATGAACAATGCGAAGGAACTTAATTACATCAAACCCTTTTTATTCAAGATAACGAAATCAAATATAATTATGATATAAAATATAATCATTTTTAATTTATATTAAACTTTATTCACTCAGCTTTTTCAATAAAATCACTGAATAATAATAATCAACCATTTGTAATCGAAGATCAACATTTTGAGGATATCATTAAGTAGCAAATTTGCTTAATAAACCGAACGAACTTTTTGGCCAATCTAATATATCTTAATGAAAAAATATATTAATATTTAACTAAAAATTCATATTGAGATTTGTACATGAGCATGACTTGTACACAAATGGTTATGATAATTGTTGGTCGAACTCTAACTAGAAATAGTTCGTGAAGAAACAGACAATGTTTATTTTACGGAAAGCTTACGCCATTATGAGCGTTGAGGTAATCGGAATTATTTCAGATTTAAATCGAATAACAATTTCGGATAAAACCTAATGAAGGGATAAGCTAACCTACTTTGTAAGTAACCATGTGCAATATTTCCCAACATACGTTTAATCAACTGAAATGTTCTGATGATACGTTTTTCTGCACGTAGTGTAATAGGTAGCGATTTGCAAAGAAAATTGGCGCGTCGAATTCGAAACATTCACACTTTTATACAAAAACCCTTACAAAAGGAATGACTCTGTTAGCTTCTCTCCCCACCAGCTATGGGTTAAATATAACAACTAACTAGGCTCCCTTGCTTTGAGGTGGCAAATGGAGTACGAGAAGAAAAACTCTGAATCAGGCTACCTTGTCATAGACAATACCCTGGTTGTTGTGTATATGGTACCTCTAATGCATTACCGGACTCGTGACGTGACGTTTCAAATAAATATCACTCCCAACTAGAATCTAACAAAGTTATGCATTTAATGAGAAAAATATTAACACTTTGATAATATTTCTCTCAGCCGAATTCTAATTACCGACATTCTCCAGCGTAGGTAAGGATTTCGTGGCACAATGCACAAAGCCCTGACATTCAGAAGATGATGACCGCTTTTTTATTAGCCTAATATCAAGTAAAAACATTACTCGTTTAAGCAATCATGACATCTATGCTCAGCCAAACACCAAAATTGATAAGGTTTGTTATGATTTTTACTCTCAGAGGAAAAGTCTGTTATCTAAACTTCAATTTAGTTTTAGCCATTCAATTTCCAGTTGAAAACATACACAATTTTCGAGAAAGTAATGTTCCGGATAATTTTCGTGTAAACAATATTGCAAGTTCCAGTATTTCTTCGCTTAAAATTACGTCTTGTCGAAAATCCTAGCTCACAAAAATGAAATTTCGAAAACTTTTATAACGACTAAAAATGAAAAACCTATGCACAGGAAAATAGAGAATGACATCGTTTGCCAAGCCAGATCAAATTTCGGTTAGATTTTGTGTATCAAATGATCCTTCGTGTACCAACGTTAAAATATATTTTACCTGTCAAACACCATATACTAAATGTTTCTTGACATACGTAAACCAAGCTATGGTCATTAAAAAATGATTTATTTAAACTGGTTTCATCATCGTGTTTTCTTGGCCATATTTCGGGTGCCTGTCGCTGTCAGTAAACTTCTTGGAATTTCGGACAAAACTATTTATTCAATTGTAAGTTCAGTTCCTAGATTAGACAATAAAACTGATATAAACTATTTCAGTGTAACGAACACAAGCAACACCACAAAGAAACATTAGCTAAAACGAATTAATAAATACTAGTTATCTCCATTAGAATGACAGTAAAATGAGAACGGGACTTCCTCACAACTGGTTTGTTTCAGAATTCCTACAATATTACTAGATATGACTAACACCTGACGAAGGTCGGAAAATACAACGGCTAAAATGTTCTGGTTATAACAACTATTGTATAGTAAAATTGCGCCTTAGTTTAGACAAAAATTATCAAATCAAAAAGTCTTTGTATTTTTGCTTTGTTTATATAAAGAAACTCCTTGATTTGCTAGACTTCGATTCCTTATTCAGAAGTAAAAAGTCATTTTTCTTGTTTTATCCTCACTCTTTAATTATTATATTTTTTTTCAACTTTATTTCAGGATATGTTGCATCGGGTGGTCTTCAAATGTCACTTTTCACGCATCACCTCGCGAAGATTGCAACAGTCAGTCTCGCACAGGTCTGAATGTTAACGTGTTTCGTGTTAGTGGAAACGAAAGCGCGACCAGGGTTGAAACAGATTGCTGTGGATAGCGGCATTTCCCCCCATTAATTTTACATAAACAGAGCCAGCATATGGAGAGAACATTTATGGACGAGTGGAGAAATGGCAGACTTCAAGATACCTGTACTAAATTAGCTAATTACATTCACTAACCTAGTCTGAAATCCTTTTCTTTTTTTACCATGATACATTTAGCTATAATTCAGCTCTTACACATCACTCTCCAATATATCACAATTTCTCTTAAAAATTCTTGACGTCTATGTCTGGTACTATCTATAATGGGAACTCCTCTACCAGATACATATACGAGGAAGTGCTGAAAAGTTTCCTGCCCTATGCATCTCCTAAAATCTAACCAAGTAACCAAATATTTTCGACAACCCATAGGATACTTGAGGAAAGCTGAAGAATCAATTGACTGAAATGTGGTGATAAAAGCAACAACAATGAGAATACATGTGCGAACAACTATATAATGACGCAAAAATCCCGTCTAGTGATTGAGACATTATCACCTTTTTATATTTAGGCCAAAGGCCAGACTATGGGGTTCTAAGTTAGAAAGAGCTGCCCGCTTGGAATATTGAAGCTGTGCAATCTTCGTAGCTCCATTTTTCACGATTTTTGCATTGGACTTGTAAAATATCAGTAAAAAATACACTTGGAAGTTGTAGAGATAGTTGTGTTTCATTTAGTACCAGAAGTTAGTGTTCGAATACAAATAAAAGCTTGGACATTGAATGTTGATTTTCTAAGGAGTACAATCTAGCAATATCTATAATTTCCTATTTGGCTGTCTGTCGTACGAATTATAATACTGAGGGAACGATTTTGGTAGAATTAGCACACACACACACACACACATATATATATATATATATATATATATATATATATATATATATATATATATATATATATATATTCGGTTCAAAATATGGACTAAAACTTGATCATTAGCCGAGGAATGGCAGACGGACTTGAAGCGATTACATTATATAATTGGCGCGTATAACATATTCGGAGCACGAAGATGCTTATCCAAAATATCGAAAATCTGGTTGCCGCTAATGCTTCATACATAATTCTTGGCATCGACAACTGCCTTTTCTCCTCCTCTTCCTCTTCCTCCTCCTCTCCACTCCCCTTTCTGTATCGTCCTCTCAATTTCTTTCCCTTTTTATTCTTTTACTTCTACACTATCAATCGGCAGTGACCGCTATCTCATAACTTTCGAGATGATATCAATTCGGAAATTGAGGTCGGTGGGTTGGAGTCAGAGAGGAAAAGGTAGAAAGTAGAAGGAGAGAAATAGAGAGAAACAGATATAGATAATTAAGCAAAAGAAGATAAGAAAGGAAAGAGGAAAACTATAGAAAGGAGGAGGAAAGAGAAGCAAATACAGGAATTAAACCAGGAGAGGGGGAATAGAAATGAGAGAATGGGAGGAGGGACAAAGTGGGGGAATCGAGAGAGAAAGAGAAAGAGGAAATGATGAAGAAATGGAAACGGTTAAAGAGACAACGCGAGAGAGATAGAGTGTTTCTGGAAAACCAAAGTGGTAGACCAAGAGAGAGAGAGAGAGAACGAAAGAGAAAAGCAAAGAGAATAAAAAAAGAATGAAAGAGACTCAACGGCTATATAAAGAAAGAAAAACGAGACAAAAAAATGTTGAGAAAGATTAAGAAAAAGACAGACATGAAAATAGATTTGATGAACTCAAGATCAGAAGATTTTGGAGGTGAAAGAAAGAAAAAAAAATGAAAAGAAAGACTGATAGAAAGACGCTGAGAAGGAGAGAAATGAAAAGAGATTGATAGGAAGACGCTGACAGAGAAAGAGAGAGAGAGAGAGATAGAAATGAGAAAAAAAATTTGGAAAAACATTTGCAGGAAGCAGACGATCACGAAAAAAAAACGTAAAAAAGTAAAAGACTAATAAAAATGTCTGCTTGGTTGTTTCAAATGGAGAACAAGGCGGTCCATAATTTTATGAAAACAATTGTTTAATCAAACCTCATCTGAATGAATGAATGAATCAAAGACATAAAGAATTACGATAACAATACACATACAAAACAAAACACACACACACACACACACACACATATATATATATATATATATATATATATATATATATATATATATATATATATTAGTTATCGATATCTGTAAGGAGGATCGTTGTCTGCTGGTCTCATCTCATCATACATATTTATAAAAACGTAGCATGCTTTAATTGGCTGCATATGATACGGCGGGCCGAAATGGAAGCAGAATATAAACAGCCACTTCATATTAGAAACGTTTTATTGGCGCTTGATAACATTTTTCCAATGAAATTCCATAATGGACGAAAGAAATGAAGAAGAAGAAAAAGATGATAATAAAAAAAATATGGAACAATTCAGCCACCATCACGGAACAAGGCCCACGAAGTTGCAGACGGGAAAATTCACTGTATTACATGGCGCGAACAGACTTATATCTATACTTACATCTCGATTTATGAAGATCTATGCGCGTATATTTAGTGAAATAGTTATTCACTCTCTCTTTTGTCTCATCCATCTTATTTGATTTGTATTTAAATATGGGTTAATAATTGTGCCGTATCTATCTATCTATCTATCTATCTATCTATCTATCTATCTATCTATTTCTTCTCATGTCTATACGCACACACACATATATATAACGATATATATTTTTATATATCAAAAACAGTATTTGGGAAATTTCATAACTTTTTTCACTGTCATAAAATTCCCCCCCACACACACATATATATATATATATATATATATATATATATATATATATATGCACGCGCGTGTGTGTGTGTGTGTGCGCGTAATATTCGATTTGTATTTATCAGTCAGCCTTTTCTTCTCATTTTATCGATCTGTCTCAATCTAAATTTATTCATATATCTATAATCATATATATTAATATTTTCACATATTTCAACCTATCTCAATTTCTCTATCTATCTATCTATCTATCTATCTATATATATATATATATATATATATATATATATATATATATATATATATATATATATATATATATATATATATATCATTCCCTCTATCTATCTATCTATTCAGATCTTTCTGGATATCTTTTAGTTTGCAGATATCTATCAATCAATCTGTCCGTATAAATCGATTTATCTTTTTCTCTTCCTCTTTCTTTTTCACTTTCTATCTGTCTGTATCTCGATGATTTTGTCTGAATATTTTTTTGCTGTGTCTCTGCATCGATTTACCTGATTGTCAAACAATGACCGCTCCTTAGATTCTATTTATCCACCAATGCTTTTCCATGTTTTCATTCTTCTTTCATGTGACTAACTCGGAACTTAGCAATCAAACCAAATCTACAGTCACGGCTTTGAATGGCCAGCTGTAAGTTTGGCATAACTCTTCACCCATGAACACTTAATGCACAGACATTCTATTTAAATGCCAATGTCATGATAACCACGTGTACTTTGTTTACTTCTCTTTTGACCACTGTAAAATTTCCACAGAGGTCAATATTGTTTCAAAATAGATCCGACATGTTGGTGTTCAAGATCTGCTGAAGATCAAATTTTAAAATCCGGTTTTAAACAGATAATTTCAAACAGGTACATTAACAGAATTAGGTAGATGGAAATAAACTGACATATTTAGATAGATAGATAGATAGATAGATAGATAGATAGATAGATAGATAGATAGATATGAACAAACTGAGAAAGATATATTTTTTCTTTAGGTTCTCTATTAATAAACCTATATGAACCAATCGATTCGAGATACTAATAAATACTTAACCGCAATTTTACTCCCAACATCATTTTCCCGGAAAGACCGTTTAAGTAGTTTTCTCGTTTCAGGCTTTTGGGAAGTGTGTATGAATCTTGAGGGAAACTCTTCAGCAACGCCTGATATTCTATTCCCAAGATGTTCGGGCCAAAACTGTTTCTCGCCAAACCCAATTGCTGCTGACTTGCTCTATTCCAATATTTACTCCCTATGTTCTTTGTCACGTTATGAGCAAATAAATAACTGCTTTGGCTCTGGTTTTTATTTCACAGAATTGTTACTTTTGATCGGTTAAATATCTAAGGACATGCTATGCGCATAGGCGAGAGGCACAAGAGAGAGGCAATTCGTGCTATCTTAAATCTAATACCATAAAGCAGAAGTTGATGTTTTGTAGAATTAGTGTGGGTGATGTTATCATTGGTATACTACAGAATATTGGAAATAGTTGCAGACGTTGATTTGGATAAAGAAGATGAAAGTAATGGTTGAAAATATTCATAAACGTAGAAATGGTTTTCTTAATTCCAGTTAGTTTTTATTCTTGTTGCTTAATGCGTTGACTTGGCTAAAATAAGTCATGGCGATCAGTACGACATGTTTGTGGGCTTGAAAAAGTCAAGAAGAATTTGTTAAAATTTGGTTTCTATGAATACATACTTAAAAGTAATAATCTTTCTATAGATTTATATTTGACTGACAAAAGATGCGTTAGGGTTAAACCAAACAGATCACTCCTCTATATACAATAACGACAATTAGTGAAATGATGAAATGCAATATAATATATATTAAGAAAGGCAAGAAGACATTTTCTTATTTCTTCGTCAGATACGCAGATATCAATTTAATAAAAACTAAAATCTACATACATTAGTCCTTGATCACCCCCGAAATGTCTGCTCACTGGAAGAAAGTGATCAGCAAAGTAAAATTGTTTATCTAATCCAAATAGATGTTTTATTAAGAAATTTTTTAAAATTTCAAAGACATCCCAAACATATCTCGTTACTAAAATAGTGGCTAGTAAAAAAAAGTAATCTTTTGACCATATCATCAGCCCACAAAGTTAAAGCATGTCCGCTAGATTCTATATATATTTAAGAAACTAGCGTTGTCAGATTTTATTATGCAAGTTTATCAAAGTAAAATTGCTAATAACTAAAAGATGTTCGTGAAATTTTCAGGCAATATTTATACGAGTACTATAGATTTTCATGCTCTTGATGGGCATTTGGTTTCATTATACAATCAAACTAAGATCAAATTGCTGTTTAAAAATGAATCCAAAAGATATAAATCATAGAAATGTACGTCAGATATCATAAAAGGCAATATTTTCATATTAAAATTGATATTACTCTACCAAGGTTGGGAGAAATTTCTAATATATATATATATATATATATATATAGAGAGAGAGAGAGAGAGAGAGATAGATAGATAGATAGATAGATAGATAGATAGATAGATAGATAGATAGATAGATAGATAGATAGATATTGTTAACTTATCGTTCATTTTTAAAATATATTATAAATTATATTGTCTATTGAAATTTCGACACCCTGGACATTTTAACAAGATTTGTTAATGACACTTTCATTTTAGAAAAATTGTGCTATATTACAAGATATTTTAACGAGATTAGGTTACCTGCTTGTAGCCGTGTTGACCAGTTCTTGAAGAAAGATATTACTTAGTGATATGTTTTATGATAAACGTTGTTCGCTGGGAACTAAGAAGCCCAACCCCCAACCCCACCCCTACGACATCCCGTGGGCGAAAATAGAAAAGAGAGAAATGTGAGGTGGTGTACTCTTTACTTTTATAATTCCAAATATAACGACATCTAACGAGCATTAGCAGAAGTACCGTGTCAGACAAGATGGATAATCGCACAATATACAAAGAATGGGACAGAGAAACAGATAGTTATTAAATGAGATAGATAGATAGATAGATAGATAGATGTGAACAAACAAGTATAGATACAATGTTTGTCCGAAAAGTAACGCACAGGTAGGTAAAACTCTAACAGAATTAAAATACTGTGAAATTTGTAAACACAAAATGACAGAGGTGCATGCATTTCTTCATGTAACAGCCGGAACAGACTTAATACTGTAAGCATTCATACACGATTACCACCATAAAACGGTAGACAAACATAATGTTGCAAGTTTTAATCAGACTTTTGTATAATAAAATGTGACATAATATATAGTAACTTGAACCAAACTGATTACGTTCTGTTGTCTTCCTAGTGGTGTTTATGAAGATAAACTTCATCCGGCAACAAGGCCTATAATGTCTTTAGGAGCGTGAAACCACATCTTAATTGCTGTTGTTCTCAGGTTCACCCTGAGCCAGAGTTGTAGCACCTGTTAAGGTGCTAGCCATAGGGAAATAGTGAACCCCAAACAAAAATCAAAAAAACTAGGAAAGTATAAAAATACATTTTTATAGTAAAAATACCAGCAATACATTTTTATAAAAAATTACGAACAATACATTTTTGTAGTGAAATTAACAGCAATGCATTTTTATGAAAAATGCCCACAATTTTTATGACAATACCCACAATAAATTTTATAGCAAAATGACTAAAATACATTTTTATAGTAAAATGACCAACAATACCTTTTTAGAGCAAAATTACAACCAATACAAAGTAAAATTGAAGACATGCAATACATTATCAAAAAAGTGAAAATCAATTTGCTATGATTCATCACATTTCATGTAAGGAGAAACTAGTTTTTAATATTTGTTTGATTTTATAAGATTATTTGGTAAACAATATTCAGCTAAATAATTATAATTTAATCATGAAATAATGTCATTCTCTTGAATTATAAAGTTTGAATTTTCACATATAGATTTCGGCATTAAATGACCCACAAAGGTGTTGATAAGCCGCGAAACAAAAACAACCACACCAAACTATTGTCTTCCTCAAATCCGATTAAATTCGTCTGATGTTATCATCGGTTACACTTACAAAGGGTGGCGTACTCATCAAGCCAAACGCCTATCTGCCAAGGAGAAGGACTCTTAAATATT